CTCAGACACAGTATACTGACTCTGAGCCGACCAGTCCTTGTTTTAGCCCCTTAATGCCGAGCGCCAGACAGCGTAACAACAAGTACCATCTTTTAACGTCTTTTGGTATGACGCGGCCGGACCTTCCTCTCTACGGGCGGACGCTCTACCACTAGACCACGGAGGCGGTCGCTTCCACATTAGAACTGGTTCAGAACAGTGTTTCCACTTTAGGACAGTTCCAGAACAGTGCTTCCACTTTAGGACAGTTCCAGAACAGTGCTTCCACATTAGAACAGTTCCAGAACAGTGCTTCCACATTAGAACAGTTCCAGAAGAGTGCTTCTACATTAGAACAGTTCCAGAACAATGCTTCCGAATTAGAACAGTTCCAGAACAGTGCTTCCACATTAGAACAGTTCCAGAACAATCCTTCCACATCAAAACAGTTCCAGAACAGTGCTTCCACATTAGAACAGTTCCAGAACAGTGCTTCTACATAAGGACAGTTCCAGAACAGTGCTTCTACATTAGAACAGTTCCAGAACAGTGCTTCAACATTAGAACAGTTCCTACAATACAAATTGTACCATATATCTTTTCAACAGAACATTCTGCACTTGACAAATTATGATAATTTCTGATCACCCTGATGTAGGTATTCAATATAAAACTGGCCATTTCTCTTATCAATAGCACAAGTACCACCAACAGAAACTAAGTTCCTATACACAAAGAATTGCATCAGGCAAGTGGTACCAATACCATTACCCCTTGGAGAGTTCATCAACTTGAGTGTATCTTCCTGCCCCCCTCCCCTCTCTCTGTACCCCCCAAGAAACATCAGCTCCAGATTGGGCAGAGTCGGGAGGCTTCTTTATGACCTGTTCAGAGATAATGACTTCAGATAGTCATCTCCACAATCAACCCCTGTAGACTTTCACTGGGGCAGCATGTCCTTCACTGAACACTTTCACCTTCAGTAAGTCTCTAACTGTACAGTATACACCAGTTCACACACAGTAACTGATGCACATATCTTGTACTTATTGTTAACAGCATACTAGATTCTTTTACATGTACTCTCATGGATTACTATTGTGATCAAGCAAATTTAATAGTATCGTCTTGCACGAGGTGTTGATGTGTTTCCAATTCATGGGCGTTGGCCGAATCTGTCTTGGTGATATTTTTCACAAACACATGTCAATTAGGGCTGGGACAAGTCCAAATTTACTACACGGGTACCCAACTCCCTATTACCCGACCCTACCCGGGTATAATAGATACATGGTCTCTTACGAAATGATCAAATCATGTGTACACTCAAGTTGACTGAAGCTGTATTCTCTTTACTTAAATATATACAAGTCAAAAGGAATGTGTGCATCATCAGAAAGAAATGCGAACATTAGCTACTTGTAGTGTAACCACTGAGCTACAGTGAGTTTTTGTCATTAAACAATATGTCACATGACTGACCACAGGTCCAGGTAGTACTGTGGGTACCCGGGTCCTACTCAGGACCTACCCGACCCGAGTACCCGAGCTACCGGTTCCAGCCCTAATGTCAATATAATACAACCTTAGATTTCTGATGATGAATCTTCCTCAGCAACTAGTTATGTGCTTTCTGATGTGAGATTTTGAAATCTGTCTTTTCAGAACCACATGGATATTTCTATGGTATTAGGGAAGTAATATAGCAGTTTGATTAGTATAAGCCAAATGACAACAGATTATGTTCATTCATGCGGATATGGGCAAGGCAATTGCCACAGATCAGATTCTCCAAGTAGGACCATGGCAGAACTGCTCCCTAATTCCCCGTGGCCGCAGAGAATGCAACACCACAGAAAGAGTGTAAGTGCCCACACTGTGGTCCCATGTTTGTCTGCAGCAGTTCACCTGGGTCTATTTCTGAATCAAGGGGACTCCCAGTATCACATTCTTGGGGTCCAAGGCTGGTGACCTGTGGCAGATGTAACTTGATTTCCAACATTAATATATTCTAATGTCATATCACTGCACATGTTCAGACATCTTCCTGAGGCAAGGGTGTTAACTGACTACAAAAGTCCAGTTTCAACCCTTATCAAGGGCTCGGTTGTAATGTCAAAGTTATGTCCCTTCAATATCCCTCCTATTGACCAATCAGATTCCACCTCTCATATCACCTGCATTTGTTTCAAACAATATGGCAGGTCCTAGTCAAGATGATCTGATCGATAATCAAGATCTATATTGTAACAAAACAGGTCTCACGTCTTGAAGAGCATCAAATCATTTGAGCACCTTGATTAAAAACATGATTTGGAAAATATCTGTCAACGCCAATTTGACAGTACACATGCATTGCAAATCCTGCAGTCTATAGAAATATTCAAGTTGAAATCATGTCGTTTACGAACTGAATGTCTAGTTTGTTAAGCGACTTTGATTGGACTCTGCACAAACTCCAGCCAAAATGTAACTCCAGAATTCCGGAATTCCAGCATAGTTTATTCCACTTGACTTTAACAGTCAGTTGGGTTCCCTTTGCCCCGGGACGATGATCCTCAGAAGTCTCAAGCCCTTTGCAGAAGGGGATTTCAATGTCAGATTCCAGATACTTTGAGTGCAGTTTGTACCAGGGTAGAAATATCAGTTATAGGCACCATGCAATCTCCAATTTTAAATAGTTTTAATCATTCAAATAGCCACTTTATAGTCCCATAGGACTCATAATGTAAGTTATTTGTATTCATTCCCAATTTGTATGTTACTATGAGGCAACATTTTTTATGTAGTAAATGCCTGGTCTGATCACTTAAATATAGGCGTAGTATTGGAGACTGTGGCTGAAAACAACATTCACTCACTCAATTCACTCTCGTGTTAGGCCTTTATATTTAGGGTATTTTACTGGGCAACAGACTTGAGTCAGTCTCTGTATAACATTTCCCATCCTAAACTAGCTGAACCTCTGAAATTCATGTCTGATAGCCACTGTTGAACTAGACACTAAGCCTATGAAAACATTTCTTTAAAATATATGTAATTATTTTTTTTGAAAGAACCTTTCCTCCTCTGTTCAAAACTAGACTTGGTTTCTTCTGATCTAGACTTGACTTTAAGTAAAATAATATAATCAAAAATTAAAATTCCACAGTCTTGCTGCAGGACTACTGTTTACCATTTTGATGCCATATAAGCATATTGCAGGTGATATTTGGCCAGTAAGTTCTTTATTTCTTTATAAATCTAAAAAGGATAGTATGCTCTGAATACTATCACTTAACAGGCCAATATAATCAAAAAGAAATGTAAAATAACAGATCATACTGTTAATTCATCCAAACCTTATTGTCAATTTGCAAAAATTCAATACTTGAAATATCTGCAATATGACTGTCATATCTCACAATTGTTTAGTTCTTTTAACAACTGGTAATAACAAATGATATTGCTTAAAATAATTTGTTCAGCATTTAAAAAAAATATATATCAATTCCTAATCATACAATCTGGACTTCTCTGAGAGGTAATGTTGAATGGATTAATTACTGAAAATGCTCTGCAAAAAAACTTAGTTTTTTAATTAATAGATTCTTAGCATCTGAGAACATAAAGAATGACAGTCTTGTGCACATTTCTAACATGTCCAGACAATAGCAAATGAGGACAGAATATAATTGAAAGGCAAACCATTTCTTTTGATTAAAGCTCCAGAATTTTCGACATTTTCTGTCCAAAAGAAATTCCAACATGAGAGATTGATTGTTACTGGATAATTATTCCGATAGACCCCCCACGGTTGGTTCTAGGGAAAAATCCATTGGCCTGTTGCATCAAGGCCGCGTGTAGTCATCTCTGAATAAAAGGCGTCAATGTCCTTCGAAGAGTGAGGATGAAATAGACGTGATGACTCATGCTACGAAATACATTACACTCCGTTACTGCCTTCGGCCTGTAATAGGGATGAGCGTTGACACACACTAGAACGGTCAATTTCATGTGATAAAGGATCATTGCTGATGTAAAAATGTAGTGAATTATCAGGCTAAAGATAATAATTCTGGGCTGTTTTCATTCACTGTTCCTGTGGGTAAAGCTTTCAAATGTAACATAAATAAGATTTGAAACAAAATATGAACATTTTTATACTCATGCATCTAACATGTTGCTTTTTAATACTAACAGAAAGAATGCTCATCTTTACCAATTATTTGCTACCCACTGACCGAGAAACATTTTCTTTCTTTTATCAGCCTTATTCTTCATTACTTAAACTCTATTCTATGCTGGCATTATCCAAATTCATTACAATTAATTAGCCTCTGATATGATTTTCTTCGAGAGCAGGTTTGATTTAAACAGTAACCTAATTTTTGTTGATACAAATTGATATAAACTATGAATAAGATGGATTTTGTATAATTAAACAACTTATTTCACCAACAAAGAATTGTACTCAGAATATTAATTGTTCTTGAATTAAAAAGAAAATTAAGTACAATTCAATAAATTGAACTACCGGTAATGTTAATTGATTGCACACAGTTTTACTAACTAGTCGCTGACAGAAGTAACACATTGGTTCTAATAAAAACAACATCTAACTGCAATCTTTTGTGGTGGATGCTATTAAAAGCAACCAATTAAGAGAGCGATGCTGATTGCAATTAATAGGGCGATGTTAATTAGATAATTGGTTTAATGTCTGTTATAACCTTTAGTTTAATACGAAAGTGTTTTTCATATTAAATGAAATGATGCTTTGACAGAATATAGCCCAAACTTGCAAAGACCGTATCAATCACTTAGTTCCCATGGAAACCATTCAAGCTAAACTCGATTAGACTTTACTTCATTCCGAAACACACGATATCTCACAGGAAATCGACAACACAACTTTCGCCTGTATGCCATCTGTTAGCTGATAAACTTGGCGTGCTGTATAAAATTTCACCTACGACGCTTTGAGGTAAAAATTGGAAAACCATTCAATCGGAAGGAACATTCACATTGAAATATCTCACCATTTGCGGCAACATCATAGAAGAAAATTGAAAATCCCACGAATAATATTCCACAGAGCCCTTTTGGTAAAGTTGAAAAGCGGCCCATTGCGGTAAGATATCCCAGGCCAAACTTGGCACCGTTTTACATTTATCCTCTTCAGTCGAAATATTCGACCCTTACTTGAAAACAAACACACATGCCAGGGGTATATTCCATTCACAGTCGCGTCAAAACGTACTCCGACTCTGTATATTATCCATCGCAAGTTTACATGGCACTGGTCCTGCTCTCGACGGTGCTTACTTCGGCTTTACTGTCATGCGAAGGCAGATTCACAATCCGGGCATTCATTTCCTGACACGGAACAGTTCATACTGAGTCAGGGGGGTTGGGACCATGCCAACCTATTTCAACACGCGTCAAACTCTTAGAAAATCGATCTAGCGCATTCGACACAACAACAGGGGATGGTGCGTGCAATTACGCCAAATTAGACGTACTCGCGCACCTCTTTGTTATCGAAATGTGTAAACATTCAACATTTGCACATCAGGTTTTAAAAATCTCTGATTTGTTTTCACCCATGGAAATAGTGAACTGTCCCACCGCCGGCTCGTGGAATGGACACATGGTTGTGTTTTGGAATAGTGTAGTTGTCTACGATTGTCGACCGTCGGGCATCGAGGCAGGAATTTCACAGAGGAAATCAAATTATTATCTTGAATGCACGGGCTATATGATGGCAATGCTTTTCATTGAGAGAAAAGGGGCGGATAGCTTGAGGACAGGAGGACGTGTAACGGGTCACGCGCATTATGATTAAAAGGATGCCGCAAAATTGTATGCGCATGCATCGATTTTGAATGGAAATTGTTCTTTTGGGCAAATGATAAAATACAAATATCTATTATTCAGATATTCATTCATATTCAGATATTGTTCCATCCCCTGTTATTGATTTCTTATTCCCAGACAGATATGTGAAATCCTACCCATAGTGGAGGGATGACTCATGTGCGCGTGTATGTGACATTTTGTATCCCATTGTATGTAAAACAAAGAACACTATTGAAAAAGGATCTCATGAGCCAATGATACTGATTGTTAAAATTCTGTCTGACAATATTGCAAAAGATAGTTGACATGAATATTGAATAACTATTAATAATGAAAGAAGCAGTGTGGTAATGATGGTGGTTATGTGTGACAAACTTCATTTCCAGACCTATTAAAATGTAACATTATGATGTTGACTATACTGCAAGTTGTTGTATTTAACAACTTAGTTTCATTCAGTGGTAGAGACAATTACTGTAATTTTTTGCCATGCATGGTAGAAATGATTTATACTCCCAAGATTTAATACTTCTTGTCATACTTTGATTGACATTGTGTCAGGCTTGTTTAATATTTATCTCTGTAACAGCTAAATATTATTTGTTATGCTCTTTGTTTGTTTATTTGTTGTTTAACGCCACACTCAGCAATATTACAGCTATATGACAGTGGTCTGTAAATAACCGATTCAGGACCAGATGATCCAGTGATTGACATCATAAGCATTGATCCACACAATTGGGATACGATGACATGCATCAACTAAGTCAGTGAGTCTGACCACCCGATCCCGTTAAGCCTGTCATTAAGCCTTCTTCACAGTTGCTGTATAAAGTTGGGCATGGATATATAGTACTGAACATTTTCTTTGTGTTTAATGGACGTTGTTATTTGTGGACTACTCCTGGACATGCACTTCTCTATACATTATGATACCATGGGTCAACCTGTGCAGATCTGGGTTAGAATTGGTCTTCATCACTTAACAGGGGCGGTCGGGTAGCCTAGTGGTTACAGCGTTCGCTCGTCATGCCGAAGACCCGGGTTCGAATCCTGACATGGGTACAATGTGTGAAGCCCATTTCTGGTGGCCCCGCCCTGATATTGCTGGAATATTGCTAAAAGCGGCGTAAAACCATACTCACTCACTCACTCATCATTTAACATATGCTTGTTGTAAGAGGCGACTAACAGGATCGGGTGGTCAGGCTTGCTGACTTGGTTGATGCATGTCACTGGATTGTCTAGTCCAAGCTTGATTATTTACAGACAGCCGTCATGTAGCTGGAATATTGCTGAGAGCGGCGTTAAACAACAAACAAACAACCAAACTGATACCATGGTTGCTGATGCATCCTAAAACAGTATTCATACCCACTCATGTAATGTGGGAGACATGTCACTACTCTTTCACATCATGATACACCTGCAACTTCCTGGTTTGCAGGACACACACAAGAATATTATATACTTGAAATATTCATGCTGTCATATCAAATTCCATGTTTTTCAAACTTACAGATAAAAATGAGACTAATTTAGAAAAGGATTCATGTTTGTATGTGCAGAGAAAAATCTAGAAGAATTTTGAGCTACAGAATAATGCTATTATTGAAACATGTTTAAGCTTAAAATATTGATGTGACATCATGTATCCTTGTTGGTAAGTAACATTATAACCACCTGTATCTGACCCAGTCCAGCTGATCTGCTCAGAAGATAGTTCAATACAAATGGGTTTGATGATTATCTTGTTCCATTGCTTGTATCTGAATATTAATGGAATCCATGAACACTTCCATTTAAACATAAGGGAAGAATCTGCATGAGATGTCTCTCCATAGGCTGGAATAATCTTTATACCAACACTGTTAACCACTCCAGCAGACTGCCTGTGTGAGGGCATCGGTGGTCCTGGAGTGTTGACCGGAATTACACTCCGTAGTGCTCAAGTGAACATGCAGCTTCTAAAATGTGGGTGGTGTATTGATTGACTGAAAAGGTTTTAGGGGTAAACAAGGCAAGGGGTAAATTCATTAACAAAAAAGTTATATCTAGGGTTTGGGTGTACTGATGTATTAAAGAGTCATATTGGGGATCTGGGTGTACTGATGTATTAGAAAGTCATATCAGAGGTTTGGGTGTACTGATGTATTAGAAAGTCATATCGGGGGACTGGGTGTACTGATGTATTAGAAAGTCATATCGGGGGTCTGGGTGTACTGATGTATTAGAAAGTCATATCAGGGGTCTGGGTGTACTGATGTATTAGAAAGTCATATCGGGGGTCTGTGTGTACTGATGTATTAGAAAGTCATATCGGGGGTCTGGGTGTACTGATGTATTAGAAAGTCATATCGGGGGTCTTGGTGTACTGATGTATTAGAAAGTCATATCGGGGGTCTGGGTGTACTGATGTATTAGAAAGTCATATCGGGGGTCTTGGTGTACTGATGTATTAGAAAGTCATATCGGGGGTCTGGGTGTACTGATGTATTAGAAAGTCATATCGGGGGTCTGTGTGTACTGATGTATTAGAAAGTCATATCGGGGGTTTGGGTGTACTGATGTATGAGAAAGTCATATCGGGGGTTTGGGTGTACTGATGTATTAGAAAGTCATATCGGGGGTCTGGGTGTACTGATGTATTAGAAAGTCATATCGGGGGTTTGGGTGTACTGATGAATTAGAAAGTCATATCAGGGGTCTGGGTGTACTGATGTATTAGAAAGTCATATCAGGGGTCTGGGTGTACTGATGTATTAGAAAGTCATATCAGGGGTCTGGGTGTACTGATGTATTAGAAAGTCATATCAGGGGTCTGGGTGTACTGATGTATTAGAAAGTCATATCGGGGGTTTGGGTGTACTGATGTATTAGAAAGTCATATCGGGGGTTTGGGTTTACTGATGTATTAGAAAGTCATATCAGGGGTCTGGGTGTACTGATGTATTAGAAAGTCATATCGGGGGTTTGGGTGTACTGATGTATTAGAAAGTCATATCAGGGGTCTGGGTGTACTGATGTATTAGAAAGTCATATCAGGGGTTTGGGTGTACTGAGAAAGTCATTTAGGGTGTGGAGGTGTAATGATTGTATTGAAATTCATTCAGGGGGTACGTTTGGAGTGGACATGTATTGGAAGTCTTTTGGGGGAATGGGATGTACTGGAAAATCATTTAGGTGGTTGGGATGTACTGATGTATTGGAAGTCATTTAAGGGGTTGAGATGTACTGATACATTCGAAGGCCTTTAAAGGGTTGGGGTGTACTGGAAAGTCATTTACAGGGTGGGGGAGTACTCATGTACTGGAAGTTATTTAGGGGGTTCGGGTGTACTCATGTATTGGAATAAAAGTGACAAAGCTATTTCCATATCCACAAAGTCATTTTGGGGGTTTGGGTGTACTGATGTATTGGAATAAAAATGACAAGGCTATTTCCATACCCACAAAGTCATTTAGGGGGTTTGGGTGTACTGATGTATTGGAATAAAAGTGACAAAGCTATTTCCATACCCACAAAGTCATTTTGGGGGTTTGGGTGTACTGATGTATTGGAATAAAAGTGACAAAGCTATTTCCATACCCACAAAGTCATTTATGGGGTTTGGGTGTACTGATGTATTGGAATAAAAGTGACAAAGCTATTTCCATACCCACAAAGTCATTTTGGGGGTTTGGGTGTACTGATGTATTGGAATAAAAGTGACAAAGCTATTTCCATACCCACAAAGTCATTTAGGGGGTTTGGGTGTACTGATGTATTGGAATAAAAGTGACAAAGCTATTTCCATACCCACAAAGTCATTTATGGGGTTTGGGTGTACTGATGTATTTGAATAAAAGTGACAAAGCTATTTCCATACCCACAAAGTCATTTTGGGGGTTTGGGTGTACTGATGTATTGGAATAAAAGTGACAAAGCTATTTCCATACCCACAAAGTCATTTAGGGGTTTGGGTGTACTGATGTATTGGAATAAAAGTGACAAAGCTATTTCCATACCCACAAAGTCATTTATTGGGTTTGGGTGTACTGATGTATTGGAATAAAAGTGACAAAGCTATTTCCATACCCACAAAGTCATTTATGGGGTTTGGGTGTACTGATGTATTGGAATAAAAGTGACAAGGCTATTTCCGTACCCACAAAGTCATTTTGGGGCTTTGGGTGTACTGATGTATTGGAATAAAAGTGACAAAGCTATTTCCATACCAACAAAGTCATTTATGGGGTTTGGGTGTACTGATGTATTTGAATAAAAGTGACAAAGCTATTTCCATACCCACAAAGTCATTTAGGGGGTTTGAGTGTACTGATGTATTGGAATAAAAGTGACAAAGCTATTTCCATACCCACAAAGTCATTTTGGGGGTTTGGGTGTACTGATGTATTGGAATAAAAGTGACTAAGCTATTTCCATACCCACCAAGTCATTTAGGGGGTTTGGGTGTACTGATTACTGTGTAATTTCCACCAGTTTGATTGATAAATGAGGAATCTCTCACAGAATTGTACCTAATCACTCATCTAAGCTGCTCATGAAAACCTGTCTTGTACCTCTACA